AAGGCGCAGACTCGACATAGAGAGACAGACAGAAAATGACACATGGAACTGGACAAATACTAAGCCGACACAACTGAAGAGCGCATCCTAAACATAAACAGAAACATGAAACTCAAATAATAAACATCATAATCATCATCATAAACAACAAGAAAACAATCCCAGAAGTAAACTAAAACCAAAATACAATAAACTCAAAAATACTAGGTCCAACGGACCCAGAACCGTGACATTAATAGCTTACTTACAACTGGGCTCTTCTTGGCTGAAGTGGTTATTATTTTATTTACATGCTTCCAGCTCCCGTTTTTCAAATGTATATCGTGATAAATATTTTTGGTCATATCGCCCTGCTCTAACAGATACTATCTCTACTTTTAAGATTAGGCTTAAAACTTTCCTTTTTGTTAAAGCATATAGTTAGGGCTGGACCAGGTGACCCTGAATCCCCCCTTAGCTATGCTGCAATAGGTGTAGGCTGCCACTGCAGATGGCCGCCTCTCCCTGAGCCTGGTTCTGCCCGAGGTTTCTTACTGTTAAAAGGGAGTTTTTCCTTCCCACTGTTGCCAAAGTGCTTGCTCATAGGGGTTTATGGGTTTTTCTCTGTATCTATTATTATAGGATATACTGTACAATATATAAACGCCTTGAGGCGACTGTTGTTGTGATTTGGCACTATATAAATAAAATTGAATTGAATTGAATGGCTAGGAGGCAGGTGAGGAGCATTCAGCTCCAAGAGCCTGGTTCCGACCAGTCTCCCTTGCTAGCAAGTAAAAGATGTTCGTCTTGCTTGTCGTTAACAAGAATAAATAAAACCAGTGGGGCCTGTGGAAGCGCAGACCCAGCACTCAAGTATAAAAATAAAAATTAGGTCTTTGGATGACATTTGTACCAGCTCTCTGCCAGGCAAACTTTATTATGTGTGCCAACTTTATTATGTGTTTGACTACATGTCAATTATTCTCTCACACGTCACTACAAACCCCAACTAAGGAAACTCACTCCCTCTTCACTATTTAGTTTTACAGGTATTAAAATTTTTTCCTGCAAACATATGGTGCAAAAAAAACCCCACCAACAGAGAAGAATGAGCATCACCCTACGTATAGGCACATAGGAAAAGATGTATGTGGATTCTAAATATCGCATTACGTTGGACCTCTGACCTCTTCTTCAAGGTCAGATAAAGTCAATTTACCAAAAATATCTTTTATCTTGAACACTATACTTAAAATTCTCCTGTCTTTGTTTGTGTTGGTAACATTTAGGACATTATACTGGTTTATCCATCCATCCATTCTCTTCTGCTTATCCTTATCAGGGCCACAAGGGGGCTGGAGCCTATCCTAATACAATGCTGTTTCTTTAATAGTGCCCAGAGAGTGAGCTTCCTTGGCAGAGGTTTTCACTCTAGGAGTGTTTCTTGTTTATAAATACAAGCTGATTTTTTTTAAAAAAAAGCAGAAAATAAAAGAAATAATAAATAAGAATGATTTAAATTGGCTTTGCCTTAAAAGAAGAGTATGTAAGGTCTAAAGTGAGATTTGACAGCCAATCTTAGTGTGAAACCTAAGATTGGTTGTAGTTGGGAATAGTATTCACTGCTCTTTATTGATTTGCACAACTAAATTCAACGAGATTGAAGCATACATTAGTGAGTGTGATAGGTTTGTAGCATAAACCTATTCGCTGGAACGTTGAAGACAATATAATTACACCGCAAAGCAAGACACGAAGTAGGCGAATTTCTTCATGTTACTCGTGCACGGGAGAGAACCGGACAAAGCGCCGTCCCTTCGCTTGACCCCAGTTGCTCTCGTCCGTTCTCCCGTACCACTGCCCTTTTATTGAGGTTACATGAATATGCATAGGTTCATTAACATATGACGTCTACATTCACACAAAGAGTACCTTGCCTGTGTGTGTGTGTGTGTGTGTGTGTGTGTGTGTGTGTGTGTGTGAGGTCCAGATGTGACCCTGTGAAGAGTCTAGCGGGTCCATCTAAACAAAAGGCTCTTATACTTAAACAGATATACATGTGCTTGCTATACCATATATCAGCAAGAGAAGATACGACCTCTCCTAGGAGGTGTGATCTACGCCGGAACACTCTGTAGAGGGAGTGAACGCACTCCCCCTTCATGCTACACAGAGCTGTTACAGACCTCCTAGGATGAGACATTCTTTCAATCTACAAATGATTATACACCTCTAAGCATATATGAGTAAATATTTCTAAGCATAAATGACAATCAACAATACAAATCTAACAGAGTGAGTAAATCCAAACACGATCATCCACCTAAATTCAAATTGATCTCTGGTATGGTTGATGTGACTGAATTATGACAGGAAGCAGTAAAGCTGCTCTGGACCAGTTCATCATCAATGGCACTACTCTAAACTTCACCGCAATACTGACTAGACTGACCAAGACATTTAACACCATGAAAAAACAAAACAAAACATGTAACAAGTTGTTTATAATGCCGATGTCTGATCTAATATTATATTTAATATGTAGGTAACTTTTGGAATTTTTGCAGGTAGCATAAGAACAGGGTTCAGACACAATGAGTTAAGATCACAAATGACCTTCCAACACATGTACAGAAAAGAACAACAGCAATGAAGCTGAGGAAAAAAATGGGTACAAGAAAAGGTAACTTTTTTATGGGCAAATACTAATCTGTCTCATTTGTTTCTCACAGTTTGGAATTTCACCGACCACTTCCTCAAAGAAGTGCCTCAAAGCCCTCTGAACTTTGTAAAGGCTGCAAGTAAGAGCGAGCACTGTCATAACTTTTTTCTTAATAAATTACAGTATTTTTGCCAAGATTGAGTCATGTCAGACCTGCAGGCATGATACTTCTAACTGTGTGTATGAATGCTTGTGCATTACAGGGAAGCCATCGATAAAGTAAAAAAGCTCTACAATCAAACATGGAAAAAGCAGGAGGAGAATTACCACAGATTCAGGTAAGATCATACACTTCAAGCCTTCTAACATCCTGATATTAGACAGTGAATTACAGGTCATTTTACACAGAAAAGCAATTGTAATGTAAACAATAGTTTAACAGATTACTTCCTCCTAGGACTAATTAAGTAAAGCAGCGGTCCCCAACCTTTTTTGCGGCACAGCCGGTTTATGCCCAACAATATTTCCACGGACCGTCCTTTAAGGTGTCGCGGATAAATACAACAAAATAAAACTAGTACCAGTACCGAAAAAAATTCATAACACACATGAAAAGACCCAGGAAAACCGAGTAAACGATAAAAAACGCTAACAAAATAACGCTGAAAACCGATAAAAACCCTGAAAACCATACATTTCACACCTGAGCCTCAACTCTCGCGGCCCGGTACCAAACGACTCACGGACTGGTACCGGTCCGAGGCCCGGGGGTTGGGGACCGCTGAAGTAAAGTACTGAATTACTTTTAATAAAAGTGTTTTGTGTAATACATTATTTTTTCGAATAATGACTTAAACACCGATTGTTAAATTGAATCGTTAAATGTTGTCATTTTTATGCTTACCATCTCTACATTGTTTCAAGCAGTAGGATCAAAGACGTTCTTTTGTCTCTGACCACCTCTCCAGCTACTCTGGTGCTGGGGGAGGTTTTATTGTAGATACATCCTATCTGAAAGATCTGGTTCTTGTGTTGTAAGCTTCCTGCTTTTATGATCCTTTTGGTGAGCAGGAAGTCACACAAACGCACCCCCACGACACACACACACACACACACACACATTCTTGCACACATGCTTACACGTGCACACACACACACACACATAGTGCCTTGTCTTAGAACCATTGGTGGGTTTTACAGTGGAAGGTGCTTGTGTTGTGTTGTATTGTGTAAACTATTGTATATTGTAACAGTTTGTCAATAAAAAGGCTACGAGGAGAGCTGCTCTTTGAAGGATTTGGGCTAGAGACAGGTGATGAGCATTATGCTCCACCGCCTGGTTCTGACCAAAGCTTCCCTCGTTAGCGAGTTAAAGACCGGTTGAAGATGTTCTGTCTTGTTTTCGTTCTCATGAGGAATAAGTCTCTAAACTTGCGGGGCCTGTGGAAACACAGACCCAACACCGATTGCAACAAGGAGCTTAAATACCTCCAACATGCACAAATATTTGACCCACAGCATGTAATTAATTTCCATGAATGTAATGTGTTTGATATGCTGCTTAGAGATGGCAGTAACTCCCAAAACGGAGCCAATGAGAATCAGTAAGGAGATCAATAAGGAATCGAATTGATAAGTGATATTGATGATAGAATCAGAATTGCTACATTCTTACCAATTCCCAACCCTAGTATTTACATTCATGAAAGCATCTCTTTATTGATTGTACACTTGAGAGTGTTCCTTAATTGGTAAGATGCTGTAAAATTCTTCTCATTGACTATGTAAATAATTCTGTTATCCTGCACTTCTGTGGTCTTTCAGGTCTTTTTGCTGCTGAGCTGATTCACTGCAGTCTTTCTTTTAAAGAAAGAATCAGTCTGTTAATTTTCTGCTCTCTTTTTTCCAACCTAATAATGGCTTCCTTCATTTGCATTGACATTTCTTATATTTAGAATCAGAGAAAAAGTTACAAAATATAAAATCGAGACTTTAAATTAACTTCAGATATTACATCTGCATAATTTTTTATGAATTAAGAAGGGGTTCAGCAGGACATGAAACTGGTTATCATTCAACTGTCAAATTACATTTGAACCACTCAGAATAGGGAACTTTGTATAAAAATGTCTTTAATTGCCGAAGAGTTAAGCCAAATATTGCCAAAGAAAAAACTAAACAGAAAAAACACTAACTGTAAACATAATATACAACAATAGACAAATTAATATGAAATACAATCTAAAGACAAAAGACAGGTTGTCTGTCCTACATGAATGCTGTATCTGTAGCTGCCTGAAGTTAAATGGCTTTCATTATGGTTAAATAACCATTTCCATTCAAACCACTGAAGCCTATTCAAATACTACATAAATGAAAACATTTATTTGAATTGTTTTCCCTCTCTGGTAAGCCTGATTTGCTGTAGCTGAAATTCCATCCATCCATCCATCCATTTTCATCCGCTTTGTCCGGGGCCGGGTCGCGGGGGCAGCAGCCTAAGCAAAGAGGCCCAGACCTCCCTCTCCCCAGCCACCTCCTCCAGCTTGTCCGGGGGAATACCAAGGCGTTCCCAGGCCAGC